AGAAAGAGAAAGATGGGTGGCCAATAAATTTTATATATAAAAGAAAGAAAGAAAGGAGGGTGAGAGGAAGGAAGGAAGGAAGGAAGGAAGGAAGGAAGGAAGGAAGGAAGGAAGGAAGGAAGGAAGGAAGGAAGGAAGGAAAAAAGCAGGTTCAAAAGCAGCCCAAGAATTTAAGTCAACAACTGAACAATGACCACTGCATTTTCCAAATATGCCAATGTGCTTCTTTGACACCCTCGGTAGGAAATGGTGTTTAGGCACTACACATAGCACACAACTTACAACCAGCGGCTTAGTGGCTATTACAACATTAACATTAACATCTTAAGGCCATTGCAGCATCCAACATTTTTAATCACACGATTAAGAGATCACTCCATCATGGGCGATACCTGATCCAGGAATCCAAAGGCAACTGAATTCAAGAACTGTTTCTAACCCCCGTTGATTTTTGAACCATCACTGAAATCAGCCGTAAATAATTAAGATTTTGATATTATTATTATTATTATTATTATTATTATTATTATTATTATTATTATTATTATTATTATTTTAATGATTTTGATAATTTTGATACTTAGGTTGTTTGTTACAGTGAGTAAAAGATTTCAATTCCTGATGCAAAAATAAAATAAAATAGAGAGGTTTAATTTTGCTTGGGCTAAACAAATACCCAAATTCTAGGTCTTTCAATTATAAACACTTCCTTTGATGAAAACAGTCACTAAAAAGGAAAGGAATTTCCTTCCCACGTGGATTGACTCATTATGAGCTGGATGATGGAGTCAATGTGATTAATGGTGGTTTAGGGCAGCCTTTTGAAACCTCCAATAAAGGATTTCAATTATTTTTCGGGGCGAAATGGCTTCCTTCAATATTGGGTCGCCTATAAATCTCATGGTCTGTGCCTGTTGCAGGCTTCTCTCATTCCAAAAAAAAAATAATTTTTTAAAAAAATATTTAAAGCAACTCTTTCCCAAGCAACTCTGCCAAACCCTGGTTCTGAAGGATTTCATTAAAAAATGAGCTTCCAGCCAGCTTTATTTTAAAATCCTACAAAGGATTTCTAGTCCTCATCATGCTATGCCTCATACTTGAAAGTTTCGTCTCCAATAAGAAAAAAGTTTATAATAGGCAATCCTTATATAAAATCATACTGTATTTCCGAGTTAGCTTTAAGAACACCTTTATTTCCTAAAAAATTGGAGTTTGAAAATGAACTTCTGAAAGCCAAAGGCAGGGGAAAAAAAAATACTATATATTCATTTATTACAAAATGAACAAATATCGATGATTTTTGAATATATAATTGGCAACATTAAAACTGATTTATTAAATATCGGTGACCTTTTAACTTCATATTGTAAATTAAACTCAACAAGTTCAGGGTGTGAGTAATAAATCAATATACCAGCCAGTTCAAGATATTCATAATTGATTGTAATAAGCCTCTTGAGTCTGAATTCGCCTGGTATAAATAATACTTTATTTGTGATAATTACTTAGGTTCTTTGTAAAAGATCTCATTCCTCTCAATTACTACTGGAAAAAAAATACTGGTGGTGCTATCAGGGGTTTATTTCGCTCAATTACTACTGGAAAAAAAATATTGGTGGTGCTATCAGGGGTTTATTTCGCTTGGGCTAAACAAATATCCAAACACTGGAATTTCAGATGTTTGAGGAAGAGGTTTATGAGACTGTAGGTCATCACGACTTGATTGTAAATTTAAAGCACTGTTTCCATAAATGAGCTTTAGCCATGGGAAAAATGTCAACGTGTTACTCCTAATAAATAACTGGATTTCTTTTGAAACTTGGCTTGAGGCTCATGAACTAATTAGGGCAGTGATGGCGAACCTTTTTGTTGTGGGGTGCCAAAAGCGTGCGCACATGCAATGCGCCCCCTTGCGCATGTGTGTGCAACGTCCCCACCCAGTCCTTACCTGCACTGCGCGTGCGCGAGCCTCCCAGCTGATTTTCAGCCCGTTTGAGGCTATTTTCGCCCTCCAGGAGGCTCGAGGGAAGCCTCTGCAGCCTTGGGAGGCCGAAAAATGGGCACATTTCAATACTTGTGGTATTTCCAGAAGGCTCGTTTTTTGGCCTCCCGAGGCTGCAGAGGCTTCCCTCGAGCCTCCAGGAGAGCGAAAACAGCCTCAAATGGGTCAAAACTCATCTGGGAGGCGCGTACATGCACAGTGTAGGTAAGTTTGGCTGGGGCTCGCATGCCCGCACAAATGGCTCTGCGTGCCACTTGTGGCACCCATGCTATAGGTTCGCCATCATGGAATTAGGGCATCCGTCGGAACCCTGACACACTTGCACTGTCATTTTTTGGGAGGGGGAAATATGGTTTCCTGCTTGAGCAGGGGGTTGGAGTAGAAGACCTCCAGGGTCCCTTCCAACTCTGTTATTTTGTAAATACACTGAACGTTTTTCAGCCCACCCATAAGCCGAGGTACAGCATTTCGTAATGTCCAAACGACATTTTTCTAAATGATTTTGGAGACACAGACACACACAGGCCACCTTGCTAAATTCATTTGGCTGCATTTCTTTAAAAAAACAACAACAACAACTCAAGAAGCTTCTAAACTCCCAGAGGTGCCAAGAAGATCCATCAAAACGCCAAGGGCAAGGCCACCTTGGAAGGGAAGAAACCTCTGTCAGGGTCATTGTGTTGAGCCAACACTTGCTGATTTTTCTTTCTGAAACAAGACAGAAGCAACATATGCAGGAACTGCACGGCAGGGAAGGGGGGGTGTGTCTCAGCCCAGAGCCCCATAAAATTAAACAAGATGCCTCAGCAGGCGAGAAAATCAGGTTCACCCCGAAGGTTAACACTCTATTGTTTAGAAGACTCTTAAGTAGGGAGATCCTGACATAAACAGGATTAGCCAAACAATTTACAAGATTCAGAGGCCATGCCTGCTTACATTTCCCATGAGGGTATGAACTCCTGAGGAGAGATTAAAGTTCTTTTTAAATCTTTGCTTAGAGCAAAGAAGAAACATGAAGACTTCATAATACTAACTGTCAATGGAGATTCTCCGTCCTCCAAGTCATGGTTGTCCCAAAGGTGATTTTTTTCCCAAGAGGCAACTAGACTTTCTGTGTTTTTTTCCTCGAAGAGATTTCACTTCTCATCCAAGAAGCTTCTTCAGTTCTTCCATCCTCCACCATTCACCCCGAACTGAAGAAGCTTCTTGGATGAGAAGCAAAACCTCTTCAAGGAAAAAACCACAGAAAGTCCAGCTGCCTTTTGAAAAGGCACCTTTGGGACACCACAATAGAATGCTATAATATTCAGAATTCCTACTAGGAAGGAAGAGCAGTTGCTCCAAGGGCTAATCATGATTTGTGACCCCATCAAGATAAATTGCTTTTTATACTCGGTGATGGCAAACTGTTTTTGGTTTGTTCTAAAGAAGCGCGGCGTGGTTGAACCAATGGCCTTCCAGTCAGAATAAGGCAGAAAAGGAGCTTGGGGTTTGTCCCAACCTCGTTTCTCAAAAGTTTCATTCCTTTTGAGTGATTGGACAACCCGAAAACAAACCATAGATGGATGGTCTGCAGGTTTGTGGCTTGGAACAAGAGAATCCTAAAGTGCCTTTCTGGTTAACATGAGCTGAGCCTCCTGTCTTATCTGAAGATGATTTAAAAGAGAGGAATCCGTGCATGAAAGAGAAGGAAAAAATGTTTCTGCAGAAGCATTAAGTTGATTCAATTAATCTGAATGCAAAGTCCAGATAAAATTTCTTATGAATAGATTGTTTCCTTCACCTGCTATCTGACTTTAAGGCAGAATTCCCTGTTATCCAATGTAATAGGAAATTCTACTTGAATGAAAAGCCAGAATCTTCATCCTGAAGCTGCCCTACACCATGCAATTTGCCCATAAACCATGATTTCTGGAACCTACGGATGATTTTAGCTTATTTTTTTATGGAAGTGGTCCTTTTTCTTCATTGGAAGAATGAGTGCTATTGACCACTGGACTCCTGCAATACCAAGAAATGTGATTTCTAGTGCCCACATGGACTTAAAAAACAGCAGATTAGACAATTTGATCCAATTCATGGCCTGGAAAGGTCCCTTGGACTACGATGATCCAATTCGTAAACTGAACAGATCACCACCTTCTGCAAACCACGGGGCTCAGGGGTGGGATTCAGCCAGTTCGGACCAGTTCGGGTGAACCGGATGTTAAGTTTTCATCTGGTTCACCGAACCGGTATTTGAATCCTGGCCCTGCCCACCCTTCCCCTCCCCTCCCCGGAGTCTCCACGCAGCCCATTTTTGATTGAGGTAAGTGCAGGGTCTGCATGGAGGCTCTGGGAGGGGGAAAAACGGGCCTTCAGGAAGTCCAGAAACAGGCCTGTTTCTGGTTTCCGGTGGGCTCTGGAGCCCAGGGGAGGCTGTTTTCACCTTCTCAGAGGCCCAAGGGAAGCCTCCGGACTCTGGGGAAGGCGAAAAACAGCCCTCCCAGAAGTTCCGGTATGCCACGCCCACCATGGCCACGCCCACCCCGCAACCGGGCGGCGAACTGGTTGCTGGGATTTTTGAATCCCACCCCTGCATGGGTCCTTACGCGTTTCTCCTTCTCACAGACCCTGCCGGCCCTAGGCTACGAATCAAAAGACTCAAGAGTTGCGGAGAATCCATGTCAACCCTATCTGGAAGTCCATCCCTTTTCCGACGACTCATGAGTTGCACAAAAAGGTTTTGTAGAAGGACCATCAAAACCACAACACTGAGTCTCACTCTGGCCATGTCACGCAAGGGAATTGGCTGGAGAAAGCAGTTATGTTGGGAAGAGTGAATGGTCAAAGGAAACCAGGTGGGCAAAGACCACAGTGACTGGACACCATCAAAACCGACACCAGCCAGAGCACAGAACAACTCAAAGAAATAGTGCAAGTGCCAGCCTTGGAAGCCATTTTTTACTTGGAACCTTTGAGGCCTTCATCGCCTGGGAATTTGGGGGGAGGGATATCACAGTGGGGTAGAAGACGAGACTCAACAACATTCTTTTCTCAGAGAGTCAAGGACATGTTGCCCTGCACCTGGAAGGGAGTGACTGGGGGGAGATGTCTCCAGTTGGGACGAGGATTTGGTTGGGCCATGGGATGGACTGAAGGGTGCAGGGGATGGATCTTTGATTTCTCTTTTAGGAAATGATTTCTCTTTTAGGAAATGGAGTTTATTGGTTTGGGGTTGGTTAGTTGGAATGCTGACAGAAAGATTGGAAGATGTGGAGAGATCTGGCCCATAGAATCACCAAGAGTTGAACATGGTTGAATGGATAACCACCACCTCCTCCTCATCATCATCATCACCACCCCCACCACCCCACCCACCCACCACCACCACCAAAGAACAACTCAAAGACGCAGTGCAAGGTCAGAAGATGTAGAGAGACCTGATCCACAGAATCACCAAAAGTTGGACACAACTGAATGGACGACATCATCATCAGAACATCCACGTTATACCATAGTATCCAAAAACCAGAAGGAATGTAATCACACTTTTTCAGACTAAAACTTCTATGAGAAGGAAAAAGCATGAATTAATGCCTTTTAATGAAATGTATTGCTCCAAAGAGGTGCCATCAAGCTCCTACATCCCTTCATTTCTCCTTATTCCATTTGCTCCTAAGGACGTCTGGTTGGAAGAAGGTCTACACAAGAAGGTCTACATTGAGCCGTTCTCTTCCCTCGGCCGCTTACGGTCCTTACCTTGCTCTGCTTCCTGTCCAGGTAAAACTGGTGTTGACTGATGGCCATAGCCCAGATGGACTTGATCAAGGCAGGGCAGGCATACCAAGTGTGCACAGCAATTCCACTGTGTCCGAAAGTTCTCCTGGTCACTGATGCCCTAGAAGGACAGGAGAAGAGCAGCGTCAATGGAGAAAGAGACCTATGTGTCAGGATACTGGAAATTGCCCCCATTTAAATCCTGCATCTCGAGCCAAGCTTCAAAAACCTCAAAAGGATTTATTGGGAGTTAACATGTCCAGCACTGCCTGGGTGGAGCCAACTCTGAGACACATCATTCGTTGTCACCTTTGACCCTGGTTTCCCCTCCACACACCCTGGATGTATCATAATCCATATCCTCCAATGGGACACCTCCATAGCCCAGAGTCATCAATCAGGCTCTCCAGTTAGATCTTTGCACGGCAGAAACTTCAGTCACCTAGTTACTATCTTTGAAAACATTGGTGGAATGCACTTTCAATTTTGCAAGCTGCTGCACTGCTCTTTTGAACCCCTTTCCCTCCTCCCTTTCTGTTGGCAACTCTCAAAAGACCACAGAAACATTTTATGAGTTGACACTATGAGTTTTTCTTATTACAGGACAGCGTTCTCCAAATTTCCGTGTTGGTGGCCCCCGTACAGGGAGGGGGATGGGTTTTGTGTGAGGGGCGGGCGTGCCACTCGCGTGAGCTGTGTGAGCGCCCACCTGTCACTCAAGTGAGGCTGTGCGTGCAACAACATGTGTGTGCTCTGGCCCGCCAGTCACGCGGCCCAGTTGCAAATAAGCCACGGCCGGTAGTGGGCTGCTGGCCCATGGGGAGTCTTGCTGTAGGGCATCATTTTGCTTGCCATTACGGGGAGACCTCGATCGTACAAACAGTTCCTTTCACGACCGATCAAAGTTACGACAGCACTGGAAAAAGTAGACTTAGAACCGTTTTTCACACTTACGACCGTTGTGGTGTCTCCCTCCCCCCGCCCCGTGGTCATACGACCACAAATTCAGAAGTTTGGCAACTGACTTGTAGTTATGACGGTGGTCCCCGGGTCACATGATTTCATGATTTCATGCAATTTAATTTGGATTTCAAATCTTTGCTCAAGCTTTGAGCTCATTTGATGGCATTCCCTTGAATCATTCCAGAAAGGCTCATTGAGTTACAGCTGAAAAGTTGCAACTGAAAGAAGTGACTTAGAACCGTTTTTTCACACTTGTAAAATTAAAATAGAATTCAGACCTGAATTTTTTCTATTGGGAATTAACGTCAGAAAATATAATAAAGGTGTAATATATTTAATAATCCATGTCACCACGGCTGCAAGGTTAGCTTTGGCCCAAAGATGGAAAGGTAATGAGATGCCAGATGAGAGGGAAATAATTAGGGAAATTTGGATGTGCGCCGAAATGGATAAATTAACTCAAGAATTAAAAAATAAGACCGAATCTGATTATTATAAAATTTGGGAGAAGTTTTACTACTGGTTGAAAAAAGGAAGGAACAAGACTATCAAAAAGGACTAAAGCTTATGTATATGTGTAAATTTGTATTATTTTCGTATTTATTGTTTAATGATGTAAGACAATCAGGTGTGTCAGGATGTATGCACCACGTTCATTGTTGTTTTGAAATGTCTTTTCTTTTTTGTATGTTTAATAAAATTATTAAAAAATAAATAAAAACCAGACGCTTGGCAATTGACTTGTACTTATGACGGTTTGCAGTGTCCTGACAAGCAAAATCAATGGGGAAGCCAGATTTGCTTAATAACCATGTCACTAACTTAATGACTGTAGTGATTCACTTAACAATGGTGGCAAGGAAAGTCGTAAAATGAGGCAAAATTCACTTGACTGCTGTCTCATTCAGCAACAGAATTTTTGGGCTCAAGCATGGTCATAAGTTGAGGATAAGCTATACTAAACTTTAAAGCAGAGGACCCCCAAAATTGGCAACTTTTAAGACTTGTGGACTACTGGGAATTCTGGAAGTTGAAGTCCACAAGTCTTAAAAGTTGCCAATTTTGGGGACCCTCTGCTTTAAAGCCATTCATTTCCCCTTTTGAGTTTGTTTCTAGATCCTTCTTTCTCTCTCCTAAGTCTTTCATGCATCTATATGGAAATAACTTTTGCTGCAGATAATTTTAAAAACAGACCATGCCTAAAACCAGCATGGTTGCAATTGCTTGGCTTCCAACTCGGAGCCATTGAGCAATTCATCTTAAAATACCTTCCCTTTTGGCTAAAAGCCCAGAATCTGAACTATGTCCCTGCTGGATCCAGATTTCCTAATTTCCTAAATTACACCCTGGCTTATCTCCCCCCCCCTTTTTAATTATTGGATTAATTACGTCAACACATTCTATATTGATAGTAAAAGCAAGGTGGAAATTTAAAATCCTGCACAATTAAATGTCTTCTTGACACAGAATATGGTGGTTTCCCCCCCCCCCCTGGATGATTGAAATGACATGGAAAATTCCAAGATTCTAAGTATTTGGTTATTATTGTGGTAGCCGAATTAAGGTGTTGCATTTCCCCCCAAAGGAAGCATTTTTGTTTTGAATATTTAACACTGTGAAGTTTGCCAAGCTCAGAAATTCCTTTGCTAGTAAATATCACTGGCTTTTCCAAAACAATACCCTTGAAATGGAAGGAAATACTTGCTCCTTAGCTACAATAAACTAAAAAAAATAATAATTTCCCAGTGGGATGTTGTAAGAAGTAAATAACGAATGATATAAATTGGTCTGAAATGATGTAGGGTTTCCTGCCTATGAACCAGTTGCTAAAATGTTTGGAGCCCAACCCTTGCCTATGTCATCGTGGGGAGTCACTGCAAAAACTCCCATGTCCTTTCTCTGCACTTATCCGTTTCAACTGGGATTGCACACAGGAAGGAATGTCTCTGTGTGGACTGTGGCCAAACTCAACATTTTGGAGAGACCGAGAGTTTAGTTGTAACACGAATATAAATGAAAAGTGTACCAGATCTACCGCAATTGCTTCTCGCAGAGTTTTAATCCCCAGCCTGTTGCAGAAACCTGGGGCACTGATATGCAGAAACTCCCGGTTCACACAAGCAGCTGTGAAACGCATTGTAAGTTGACAACCGGTAAGGAACGCATAGCCACACAAAAAGACCCTTAATAATGACTTTTTCTTTGGGCTGAAAAACATTCTGGATGCCAACAGTTTCTCAGGTTTTCAGAGAAGGAGATTTTATGCTTATGGACCAGTTTGCACAAAGGTACCTGTAGTATACCTGTAGTATACCTGTAGTAGACCGGTAGTATAAGCAGCTACTCAAACTGGGAAATAAGAGACCATGCAATCTTTGATTTACAAACATTTGTTTCGGGACCGCTCTAAATTACAATGGAACTGAGGAAAAAAAGGGACTTATGACCATTTTTCAGACGTATGATCAATGCATCCTCCCTATGATCATGTTCGGATGCTTGGCAAGTGATTCGTACTTATGACGCTTGCAGTGTCCCGGGGTCACATGATCCCCTTTTGCGACTTTCTGACAAGCAAAGTCAACGGGGAAATCCGATTCTTTGCTTAACAACTAGGCGACTCACTTAACAAACAGCAGTGATTCACTTAACAAATTGCAGCGGAAGGACGTAAAATGGGAGAGAACTCATTAAACTGTCTCGTTGAACGACAGAAATTTGGGGCTCAATTGGGATCGTAAATTGAGGACTACCTAGTAACAATTTGAGAGAAAGTGCAAAGCATAAAACAGAGACAATAATAATAATAATAATAATAATAATAATAATAATAATAATAATAATCCCATATGTGTTTTTATTGCATTATCTAATTTTGCCAGCCATGAGCGGAGCTGCTGTTTATGTTATCTGGACAAAAATTAAGCACTTGACGAAGAATAAAATCCAGCACCGATATAAGAGGGCATGGTCTAATGATAACACATGCTAAATAATAGCAATTAAATAAAGGGCACAGGACTTATAATAACAATGCTGCCACATCACCATGACTGTTGCAGGCAAGAAATTAAAAATGAAATTTAAAAAAAAAAATCCATGCAGGGTGGGAACCATGGGATTGAAGTCACTTGTTGGAAAATTACCAGGTTGTGTGTTTTTTTTAAAACGCATTTAGGATGTTACCACGACTTGGACTGCAAATGCACCTGGGCCATCGCTTCAGCAAGCAGAAGGGTTCCCACAATTTTCACAGAGCGCGCATCAAATATTGCGTGGGAATTCTCCCAAGAGGCTTAAAAAAACCCCGTCTCCCTTCCCTGAGCCTGCCCGGGATGACTGCTCCTTTGTCCCGGAATAAACTCCCAACCATCCGCCTTGAAATAATCGCCAGCCCAAAAAAAGATTAGAAATGGCTTTGACCCCCCCCTCAAAAGGGGTCCCATTTGCAACCGGGCGCCCGCGGGCCACGTTGCCCCGAGGTGGGCTGGCTGGGTGGGCTTTTTCCACACTCCCCCCACCCCCCGGCTGTTCTTCGACCCCCGAAACTCTTCCTTTCTCCGCGCCTCCCTTCGGCTGCCCCGACCCGCCTCTTCCCTTCGTGGCTGGGAGGGCGAGGAAGAGGCGAAACCCAAGAATTCCCACGCGTGAAACTCAAGACTTTTCCCAGCCAGGCGCGGGTGGTCCGAGGCCAGATGCCACCGGGTCCCCCAGCCACCGCCGCTGCCGCCTTGCCCACCTTTTTCCCCTCCTCACCCGCGGCCGGCCGGTCGCGCCTCCTCTTCCTTACCTGCGTGGGTCATGCACCTCCACGGAGAACTTCTTCTCGCGGAAGTAGAGGTTCTCCAGCTGGCGCCATTGGAAGATCTGACGGGGGAAAGAGAGAGAGAGAGAAAGACGCGGGGCTGAGACGGGGGCCGCCCTTGTCCTGCCCTGCCCCGGCTGCGCTCCGGAGAGGCGGGGAGAGCCAAGCGGGGCCGCCCCTTGTCGCGGGGAGAGGGAGGGTGGGCTCGTTCCCACGCGGGCCGGTGGGCGGACGAGTCCGCGCTCTCCTTCCCCGCCTTCCCTGGCACCGCCTCGGCCTCTCTCCCGCCGGCTCTCTCCCTTGCTCCGTTTGCAGGGACCGGACAGCTCCGGCTCTTGCGCTCCCCCCCCCACCCGCCTTCCCTTCCTCCCTCCGCGCGGGAGATTCCCACGGGGGTGGGGCCACCCAGAGGGAAGGAAGCCGGACCTTCCTGCCTGCGTGGAGCCCGAACCCACTTTTGAAGGAGCCAAGAAATGAAGCCAAGGAAGGTGCTTCAAGCATTTTCTCTTGTCTGAAATGGTTATGGGGTCTCCTTGAGCGGGGGTGGGCTGGGGTTGACTAGAAGACCTCAAGGGGTCCCTTCCAGCCTTGATTTTAAATGCATGGGAGGGAAGCCCCAAGGGAGGTTTTTTTTTTAACTGTACTTCCAGCTGAATTTAAAGGAAGAATGAAATTTAAAGGAAGAATGAAAAGTCCAGCTGGACTTTCTTCCCTGGAATTCTCCTCCAGCCTTTTGGCATCCGTTCCTCCTCTCTTTCTCAAAGCTGAAGTCATTCTTCTTCTTCTTCTTCTTCTTCTTCTTCTTCTTCTTCTTCTTCTTTCTTCTTCTTCTTCTTCTTCTTCTTCTTCTTCTTCTTCTTCTTCTTCTTCTTCTTCTCCTTCTCCTTCTCCTTCTCCTCCTCCTCCTCCTCCTCCTTCTCCTTCTCCTTCCTCCTCCTCCTCCTTCCCCCCTCCTCTTCGTCTCCTCCTCCTCCTCTTCCTCTTTCCCCCACCACTTCCTCCCCCTCCCCCTCTTCTTTGTCTCCTCCTCCCCCCCT